TAAAAGAAAAGATACATTCATCATGAATTATAAGGTACAACACAATGATAGTCATAGGGTACAAATAAGCAATCAAATCATACTAGGAAACAATCAATATAAATCATAAGAATACAAGCAATAAAGTTATAGTCATACAGTTGTAAGTGGGAAGAGATGGGTGATAGGAACAATGAGAAGATTAAAAGTAATAGTAATGCAGACTTAGTAAATAGTTTGACAGTGTTGAGTGAATTATTTGTTTAGCAGAGTGATGGCATGGGGGGAAAACTGTCCTTGTGTCTAGTTGTTCTGGTGTTCAGTGCCCTATTGCGTTGTTTTGAGGGTAGGAGTTCGAACAATTTATGTCCAGGATGTGAGGGGTCTGTAAATATTTTCACAATATTTTTGACTCCAGCAGTGGTAGAATTTTGTGAAGAAATTGTAACAAAGATTCAGTATGGGAAAACAATGTAGAAGGTCTTCTATAAAATGTGGCCAACCAAGCAAAAAATACCCTCAAGTTCCTGTATAGCTTGGTATACCAATGTACCATTTTTATATTGTATTTTGGTATTTTCTCAACGTCATCGAAAAGAACTGTGGCCAAGTTCTCTCCTTTACCAAAGGTGAGAATAACTTCACAGCAAATTATTCTCAGTTTCATATTCTCCTGCACCAGGTTTTGCTCTTCCATAAACTGGGTTCTAGCCAGGGAGAAGCAATCACACACTTTCTTGTTTTGAATTCCAAGGAATTTCAATTCATTCTGCACAATTTGGAGATTCTCTAAGCTAAGAGGTTCTATCTCATCACCACGCCAGTTGAGGTAAATATATTTTGTTTCTATTATTCCCTCCCATATTTTCTTTCCATCTTCATCCAGAATGAGTGCTTTACAATCTCTTCCCATATATTCAAGCTTCAGTTTGGAATTGTCACACAAACATTCTTCCTTGTTGCCTTCTTTTAAGATGCTCTGATCTTTAAGTAAATGTTTCAGAATGTTGAAAAAAACTTTTTTGTCTTTTTTAGATGGGATGCTGTCATTGCAGGAATAGTAGAAATCATCAGATCCTGTTGATCCTGAAGAATCATCACTGTCTTCTAATTGACTTAGAATCACAAGTGAATCTGGATTTTCTTTTGAAATGTTAACTTCGTATTCTTTTGAAATGAACTTATCATGGTTCCATGGATTCTTTATATGATCAAAAGATGAATAATCCAGGAATCTTGAGGACAATTCATTCAACACCATGCTGCACCTGGTTCTGCAGCTCTTCTCCTCTTCCCCCAATCCTTTTGTGGGGAAAAAATCTGCCAATTTTTGAGCAGTTCTTATACAGTCAGTTTCCAAGACCTGGAAATATAGGTACAAATTATCAATATATGAAAATCTCTCATCAGGAAATCTCCAGAACCATAAAGCCTACATACACCTTAATTGTTTATGTATTGGATTCTTGGATGTGACAGACACCTTTGGAGATTTCTATTAGAAGAATGGTAAAATAGTCCTCTAGGAACTTCTTCCCAAAAGAAGCACTAAAGAAATGCAATAAGCTTGATATATTAGGACAAAGGGTCTCCTATTAAAATCACCAGAGCTGACTCTAACTATAGTTTTCTCCAAATTGTGACTCGGATTGAAAAAATAGGAAAATAATTCTTATAGCTTCACTAACACACTTAGGGATAGAAAGAGGAGAGGCTTCTTAATTCTATTACAGTACTTAGGACTGTTTCAATCTGTTTAAACATTGCAAAACCAAAAAATTCTCTTTCTGTCTTTCTCTTTCTCTCATTCTCCTTAGTTATTAACATAGTTACCGTAGTTTTTGTAGCATAAGATGCACTGGAGTATAAGACACACCAAGGTTTTGGAGAGGCAAATTTTTTTAAAAAGTTTTTGCACTCTGCAAATCTCCCAAAAATAGCCCATTTTTCATGAAAACAGGCCGGCTTTTTTTTCAAAAAAAGGGCATGAATAGCCTTTAGGAGGCTGATAGAGTGATCCTGGCCGGGGGGGGGGAGACAATTGAGCAAAAAAGGGTCCATTTTTTGCTCATTTCTGTCCTCCCCAGCTCCCAGGAGCTCTCTGAAAGCCTCCTAAAAGCTATGCATGGCCATTTT